CATAAAGAACCCACAGAGAGATGACTGCTAAACTTGCCTAGAAGTGAGATGATCCTTTGGGGTTCCTGTTTCATGAAAGAGTCTGTGAGACATTCTGCAGGACACAGAAAAAAGTGACTGAACTGTCTTTAAAATTTCCTACTTCATGGAAATGTCTGCTGAATACTATGGGCCTGTAGGCTGAAGATGGATGCCCCAATGGTACAGAAGAACTTTGGGTGACTGTCCAGGTAGTGAGATGTCTCTGTCATTTCTAGAGTTTTGGAAGTTGCTTACTTCTTGTTTACTTAGGTAATATTATATCCTTCTGGAGTCTTTGGTAGAGTTGAAGAATAGATAGTTATAGTTTTCCTTAGTTATGATAAAAGATAAAGTAGATATAAATATTGTAACTGTAATTCTTGCTTGAAAACTGTTTTGTTATATGAAATTTTACTATGTTTAAACAGAAAAAGGGGAAATGGTGTAGGAGGTTCTTCTGTCTATGTGTTGCTTTCATTGGTTGAATAAAGAAACTGCCTTGACCTTTTGATAGGGCAGAAATTAGGTAGGCGGAGTGGATTGAACTGAATGCTGGGAAGAAGGGCAGAGTGGCAGATGCCATGAAGCTCCTGCCTGAGACTGACGCTGGTTAGAATATTTCCCAGAAAGCCACAACCTCGTGGTGTTATACAGATTATTAGAAATGAGTTGAATAAAGTTGTGAGATTTAGCCAATAATAGGCTAGAGATAATGGGCTAGGCAGTAATTTAATTAATACAATTTCTGTGTGATTATTTCGGGTGTAAGCTAGCCAGGACGAAAAGCAGGCCCGCCCGCTCCTCCTGTAACATACCTTTGCCGCAATCTGCCTTATTCTTTTGAGCCAAGGTCCTCTCTGTAGCTGGAGCTCACTGATTAAACAAGAGCCTGAGCTGTGAGGAGCTTCCTGTGTCTGCATCCTCAGGCCTGGGAAAGCAGGCAAGCAGGCATGTGCTCCAGCCTTCTTATGTGGATCTCGTGTCTGTGGAACAGACACTGTACTGACTGAAACACCTTCTTAGCCCAGCTGTGACCATTTGTCAGTACACAGCCCCTTGGTACTAAACATATTTGATGCTCCATAGCTATCCTCAACAGCCTCTTTATTACTCCTTTTATTTTGTAAAGCTGAAGCTCTAAACCCTGGAATACCTACACCCTGCTCCCTCCTTTCCCCAGCTCCCAGCTATCATTCTACTCCTCTGTGTTTTGGCAATTCTAGAAACCTCAGAAAAGTAGACTATGCTATTATCTTCCCTTGAACAGCTTGGTGCACTTAAAGAGCAGTATTCAGTCCACATGACGACATGCATTGTGATTCATTTTTTAAGGCTATATAGTATTCCAATGTGTGTGTGTATGTGTGTGCGTATGTGTGTGTATGTGTGTGTGTATGTGTGTGTGTATATCTGTGTATGTGTGTGTGTGTGTATGTTTACCCATTCATCTGTTGGCAGGCACTTGTGCTATTTCCATGTTTTAGCCACCATGAGTAGATTTTTAATTTTTAAGTTACATGTATTTACTGTATATAATGACATGTGTGCCATGGTATGTGTGTGGAAGTCACAGGGCAGCTATAGAATCAGCTCTCTCCTTTGAGCCACCATGTGGGCCCCAAGGGTTCCATGAAGGCCACCAGGCTTGGCTGCAGGCAGCTTCCCTACTGACACTCTTGCCAGCTCTGGTTGCGCTGCTGTTGGGACTTAATGTCCACTCGCTTTGGGGGCCTGGAGTCCCAGATGTAGGTCAGGACCTTGGCTTGTCTGGGGGTGGGGGTGGACACTTCTGCAGGTCTCTCCATGGGAACACTCCTGTGTGTCAGTTTGGCCTTTCTCACACCATGGTGGCTGGGTTCTAGAAGTAAGTATCCCCAGAGAGCTCTTTGAATTCAGCCTTGGAAGTCATCTGGTGTCACTTCTGCCATGTCCTATTTGAACATGGTTAGCATCTCCATTAATGAGAACCAGCATGAAGACAGACCCATTCCTCCTCATGGGGGAGAGGCAGGCAGACTGTGCAGAGTGGACGTGTGTGGGCTGGGAGGAGGTACCGTCATCATAGTCTGAAATGTAACCAGTCATGTTGGAAAAATCCCCTGAGCACAGCTGTGCCAGGAAGGTGAGAGGGGCTGTTCACATCCACTGCAGAGGGACAACTGAGGCCGCAGTGTCCCCGAGCTGAAAACATCCACTCAATGTAGGGGCTCATCTCCATGACATCCATCTAGTCTCTGCTTGAGTGTCTGCAATGACGTGGAGCTCAGTACTGTTTGAAGAGCTGGTTCTGGTTCTGTATGGTTGGAATGTCAGGAAACCCTTAGGACGAGAGGAACGCTGACTTTCCTGTAAGATCTCTCCTGGCTCTGGGTCAGTTTCCCCTTGAGTAAGGATGAGCAAGGATGAAAGAAGACAGAAAGAAGCTGAGTACTAGCTGGGTCTGGAGGGTTCCCAGTCATCCCATGGGACGCCAGCTCACACTGGGCTCCTAGAATCCAGTCCAGATGCTGATGGAATTGGCCTCCCCGTTCCTCAAAGGCCAGATGGCCACTCTTCAACACCTCCGTCTGTGTTATCGTTTCTCAGAATTCTCTGGACGTTCCTAGTCCTCAGCAGGGATTCTCTCTTGCCCTCAGTAAAAACTCTGATACACAGCAGGTTTGTTTGTTTTCCTTCCTTTTAGAGATAGTGTTAACCTATCAATTCAGATTGCTTGGGAACTTGCCACCTTCCTGCCTCAGCCTTCTGAGTACTAAATTTCAAACATGCACCATCATACTCCTTCTTCCCCTCCTTGCCTGCCCCTGTCTGTTTATCTGCCTCTCTTTCCCTCTCTTCTCTCCCCCTTTCTCAGGATTGTTTAGTTATTTGTATGTATTATTATGTCTGAGTGTTCTGCATGTACACCTACATGCCAGAAGAGGGTATCAGATCCTATTATAGATGGTTGTGAGTCACCACATGGTGGCTGGGAATTGAACCCAAGTCCTCTGGAAGAGCAGCTCTTAACCACTGAGCCACCTCTACCAACCCTTCTCAGAATTCTTAAGATGACCCCGTTTGAATGTGATACTCCTGGATTCACCATTTTATTATTATGTCTTTCAGAAGTGACATCATACAAGAGTGGAGCTTGTAGTTAGCTGAAGCTCCCAGGTGTTTTCCACTTCCCTGCTGCACGAGGTTTCCTGTGTGACCCAGGGTTTTGTGATCAGAACAGCACTGGGGGTGAGGACAAAGATCCAGAGGGCCACTGGCCCCCGAAAACAGCGTCTAAGATAAAATCTGGCTGCTGGGCATGCTCAGTTACTTGGGAAGCTGAGGCAGGAGAATCACTAGAACCTAGGAGTTTGAGATCAGCCTGAGAAGTACAGTGAACCCCCGTCTTGAGAATGGAGGGGGAGTGTATTCTGTAGAGTAGGCTCTGGGGCTATGTCTGAAGTAGAGGGAAGGTCAGCTTGTTGGGAAAGAATATTCTTGGTGTCACACAAAGAAACACCCGAATAAAGCAAAATTAAATAAACTGGTAAGGCTTTTTTTTTTTAATTAAAAATTTTTTTAAATGGTGTGCCATGACCCAAACTTGGCTAGCAAGAAGCCCACATGTCTTATATTCATAAGGAGAAGCATGGTTGTTCCTCACTGGCTGAGGTTCAATTTCATAATTTATTTCTGATTGGCTAATTTGGAAAGCAATGTGAAGGAAATGAAGGGAAGGGGCAAGGAGCGCTGGCCACTTGGGGGAGAAGTTCCAGGAATACAACAGGGCTTTGTGTAAATGCGATTTTTATGGTGGGGGAGATTAAAATATCTGCATAAAAGTTTTATAAGACTGGGGGCTGTTTAAAAGATTTGCATAAAAGTTTTATAAGGCATGGGATATTGGCCCTTGGTGGGTAGAAAAAAAAATCTTTTCTCACAAACTTGTGAGTGGCTTCTTGTTGGGATGGCACGGGGGTGGGTCAGGTGGCTTTGTTCAGAGGCTGGAATGACCACCACTTATTCCGGCCTTTCTTGACTGGGAGGGGAAAAATGAGATTGAGAAGGGCCATTTTAGAGGTTCTCAGCAATCCGTCACTTGGGCTAGATCTGGGAGCGTCTAGATGCAGGTGTGCAGGTGTGCAGACCAGGCAGGAATGGTGGAAGGTGGGTCTTACAGGAGAGGGCTGTGTGGAGCCTTCTGTACTCTGTGCTCCAGTGCTCTTATTTACGTTCAATTACAATGGAACCAAAAAAAAGGAATCATTTATGAATGATAGAGGCATCCTCCTAAAGCCAGCCTGGCCCCTAAACTCTTGTATGAAGACGTTCTCAGCTCACAAGGAAGAGAGATCAAACTAAATCCCTTTTCAGCTGAGTGGGGAATGTTTTGGCTCGCCCTCTAGGAAGGGCTGGTATGAAGCAGGCTCCAGCACTGACGAAGACCAGAATGTCACTGGGACCCATCTCCAGTGGGCTTTACTGTAGGCCTCATTTGTGCTAGTGTAGATGGGTTTCTTGCAGGCAGTAGCCATGGCACTGAAAGCTCTGGAAGGCATAGCCTTGCAACACTCCATCCCAAAATCCTGAAGATGGGTTGAGGAGGCACCGCGGCTGATGGAGTACTTGCCTAGAGTGCATGAAGTCCGGGCCTGGGGCTGGGTATGGTGATGTGTAGTTGGTTGGTTTCCCTCTTTACTCTTTGTTTATTCTTTTGGGGCCTGCCCCACCCAGCTCCCAAATATATCACATGGAATCTTATCCTTTCTTATGAATGCCCGACCTTAATTTTGTCAGTTCTTTTTTTTTTTTTTTTGGAGGTGTGAGAACAAGGTTTAATGTACACCCATCAAGGCAGCCCAAGTGTCCATCTGCACAGAGGCTCCCCGGGAGTTGCGGGACTTGGCCGTGTCCAGCTTCCTCAGCATCCTTCACGAGGCTGAGCTGTTCCTGAGAAAGCAGGTGTGAGCCAGGGAGATCTAGAGTGTGACGGGGTTTTCTTAATCATCCTTCTTAAACTTGCCGTTGATGTAAGGTACCCAGTCCAGGATCAAACGCCAGCCTGTGGCCCACACCAGCCCCACGGCACCCACGGCACCCCACATGCTGGCAGTGGGGATCCAGTTCTTGGCCAGTTTCTGATAGCGTGGGCCCAGAAACTTGCTTAGCATCGCTGCAGGGTCTCAGCACTCAGGGTCACCCTCTTCCTGCTGTCCTGGAGCGCTGCGCATGTGTCCAGTTCTTTGTTTTGTTTTTGAGACAGGGTTTCTCAGTAGCTATGGAGCCAGTTCTGGAACTCGCTCTGTAGACCACGCTGGCCTCAAACTTCCAAGTGCTGGAATTAAAGACGTGTACCACCACAGCCTGGCCAGTTTTTTTTTTTTAAACTTAAATTATTCCATCTACCATTTGCCTCTGGTCTTTTACCTTTCTCTATTTCTGTAAATCTTTTCTTTCCTTTTTATTCTGTGTCTAGCTGTGTGGTCAGGTGGCTGGGCCCTTCTTTTTTCCTCCTTTGTCTTGTCAATCCACTCCTCCCAGATTCCTCTTCCTATTTATTCTCTCCACCTGCCAGCCCCACTATCCTTTCTTCTTCCTTGCTGTTGGCTGTTCAGCTCTTTATTAGACCAATGGGGTGTTTTAGACAGGCAAAGTAACACAGCTTCACAGAGTTAAACAAAAGCAACATAAAATAATGCAACGTATCTTTGCATCATTAAACAAATGTTCCACAGCATAAACAATGTAACACATCTTCAAATAATATTCCACAACAGTGATAGGTGCCTGTGATCTCAGCACTCTGGAGGTAGAGGTAGGAGAACCAGAGTTCAAGGTCAACACACCCCCATCAGGGTTTCTCTGTGTAGCCCTGGCTGTCCTGGCACTCACTCTGTAGACCAGGCTGGCCTTGGACTCACAGAGATTCACGGACCTTTGCCCTCTGAGTGCCAGGCTTAAACCACCAAGGCCAGGGAAAGTCAATCTTGAACAAAGATACAGGAAACTTTGTCTCAAATAACAATGACTAAACAAATACTTGAAAGTATTGAAAAGCGTGTCTCTCGGAATCAGTCTATAAAACTCTAGAGGGCAGGCGGATCTCTGTGAGGCAGGCGGATCTCTGTGAGGCAGGCAGATCTCTGTGAGTTTGAGGCCAGCCTGGTCTACAAGAGCTAGTTCCAGGACAGGAACCAAAAGCTACGGAGAAACCCTGTCTCAGAAAAAAACAAACAAACAAACAAACAAAAAACTCTAGAGGTTTACGATTTGCTTTGCATAAGTCATGTGATTATCCATTGGTCAATCATTTTGGCAGGAGGTTGAGATAAAATGACTGTCTAGGCCCAAATCATATGTCTTTTCCAGTGATCACCGTCATGTCAGGGCTAAAAAACCAAAACAACAACAGAAACAAAGCGATGAAACCAGGCATTAGGATAGTATCAGGCAAGTAAGACCTGAAGCTCTACAGTCTTCTCCGGGATCTACCCGGCACAGATTACACACCTCTCTCCCCGACTTCCTCATTCTCCTGCTTGTCTGTAAGCATCAGCCTTTGAGTAGCTTCTCAGCATTTATGTATATGGCGCAAGATGGCTTCTCCAACCCCAGACACCACACGAATTTTAGGAACCCAACCCTAGCTATGGCTAAGTTCCTATTTCAAGGAAGAGAAACTCCTACTGGCTGCAGAGATGGGCACTGCTCTTTATTTACTGTTACTAATTTTGTTCTGATGGAGATGGAGAGATGGGTGTTGAATAAATGCTGGACTGGACTTCAGTGGTAAAGGATATTGTTACAAGCTTCAAACTTGGCCTGGAAGACTAGTGTCTAAAAGAAGGGGCCAAGGCTGAGGCAGGTATTGCAGAGCAAGGTAGCCTGCTAGTAGCAGTAATACTCAGAGGACTACAAGGTGTCTTGTCATGTCCTCAAGTAGCTTCAAGTCTAATTTGACAAGCGAGACATTTGCTGTGGCTGAAGGTCATAGGGGTCATAGGAGGGTGAAGCCAGTGACCACTGCTGGTTAGTTAGAACAGCATTGACCTCCGAGGAGGCAGAGAGGAAGGGCAAAGGCATTCTGCAGGGCAGAGAAGAGGGATTCAGGCATTGACCCCTCCTCTGTCTCCTCCACAAATCCCACTCTGCCTGGATAATCCTGAAAGACCTTGTCTACTCCAGTCACTGTCTGGCTTGTGTATAGGCTATCAGCTGTTTTCATGACTTTTTTGAAAGTCAAGAAGTTTAGCTCCTGTTAAAAAGCGAAAAATGGGGATACACATAAACAAAAATCACTGCCTCTCCCTCCAAGCTCCAAGGTTAAAAGCAGGCCAATAGCCCTCTGGACGTGGAGACAAACACACAAAGGCTTCCGGCAGGGACTTCCACTTTTATTTTATGATACAGGAACGGTCGAGACTTGCCCAAGGCCTCCAAGCTGTGACTGGGATGAAGTTTCTGTCTGCCAGCCCATGGATGACTCCCCAGTGGGGAGTTGGCTTTGCCAGTCTCTGTGTGGAAGGTGGGGGATACCCCACCTTACAGAGAGAATAGAGACCGGGCCTAGAGATGCGAGCGTTCAAGTCAAGTTCTGAGAGAGGCTGAGAAGCCTCCGGCATCATCGTGAGGGACAGAAGGTCCATCCAGAGTCTTATCTGGACAGACACCCTTTCCTGCTGGAGGAAAAGGAAGAGAGATTTGTTTCTTTGCTGTTTCTTCCCTTTCAGAGAGATCAGGATTCAGATGGCCCCAGATAAATCCAGCTGACAAAGGGACCGAAGCGCTATGAAAGGGGCCTTTGCCCAAGACACACAGGGAGCTGGGGGCTTGGGGTCACTGGCCCCAAGCGCCTGGCTTTGGATTTTGATACAATTTCCAACACACAGTGATTTGTACTCATTCTCTGCCTTGAAAGCCATAATTACCAGTGCTGTAAGCTCAAAGCCTCCGCCCTTCTTGTCACCGCTGTGGTGTCTCCTCGCGGTGTCACTCACCGTCTGCCTCACTCAAACCTCACTTGACCTCAGAGAGGCCCTGAAAGCAAAAAATCGCAGAAGGGCAGCGGCCCCGGAGGAGGGGTCCTGAGGAAGGAAGAGTGGGCCTGGTAAGGAGGACAGAGGGGTGGCTGGGCGGAAGAGGAGGGAGCCGGGGAGGCGGGTGAGGGCCATGGCGAGGGCCCCTTGTCAAGGTTCTATCTGCACGATGATTGATGCGAGCCTGGGTTTTTCTGTCAGCCTGTCACGGAGCAGGAATGTTTAATGTTCTCATTATTGGTTACGCTGTTGTGTATATTTCTCTGTCAGCACCACGGACCCAGCTGAACTGGCAGAGCACTTCAAAGGCCTGCGGGTCATTCATCATCCCCATGACGCCCAGGCAAACGCTCAGCTTCAGCTCCGCGCCAGGGATTTGTTATGACTTGCAAGCCGGCTGACAGACAGAGCTATGGCAAGGAGGGGACAAGGGCTGCAGAAGGCCTCCTCCCAGCCTTTTTTGTCACTCTGGACTCAGGGCAGTGCCTCAGTGCCTCCAAGACCAGCCAGGGGTGACCTCCGGAGCCCGTGTGTTAGGTCAGGAGTGCAGGGTGAGCCGCGGTGAGGGCTCCCTGGAACCCTGCGAATCCACTCCCCATAGCCCCACTTCCCCGTGGATACATTGTGCTATACCCCCAAAGTTATTTTGAAGTTGGGTGGTAGTGGTGAGGGGAACCCAAACTTGCAGGGCCAGGGAGGGTGTGGGGGGCAGGGAGAGCCGGGAATATGGGAGCTTTGTTCCTTTTCCCAAGCCTGACATGATTAATCGTTTTCTTCTGATCTAATTTTGGAACATGAAAAACAGCACATTTGTCTTGAAGAAAAATGATGTGCCGAACTGCGCAGATGGAAATTTCGAGCAACGAGAAAGATTAAAGTGAAACCCCACTCCTTAGACCTAATCATGAGTTGTAGATTATTCTGTCGGCCCAGCCAGATGGTAGCTCTGATTCCACAGCCCCTTCTTATATTAATGAATACTAGACTGTTATATTTGACTTAGGTAAGTGAAATGTCTATCAGAGCTAATGGGCTGCCAGCCAGCATAACACATGTTGTACCGCTAAGGGTCCTTGCTGCATTTTTCATGGTTTATACTAATGTAGAACATTTTGTTTCCTACTGGTTTTCATCATTGTCACTGTTTGCTAAATATTTTCACATGGAAAGGGTGGGGGAGGGAGGCAGAGTCAGGAGGAAAAAGAACACCCCCCCCCAAACTTGTGTCCAAAGCTAATTTCCTCCCGTTGGGCTTGGCTATAACTCTACAAGTAAAACGGTCACCCCCAGCAATGCGTACAGGAACTCAATAGTAACGTGATTAAGTCCCTAGTCAAGAAGACTACTCGTGACTCTATGTTAACAAACCTAATTATAGCCCTGCAGTGATAAATTGGGCCCAGGTCCTTGCTGCGTATCTCCGAGGTCATGTTCAAAGAGCATCTCTCGTCCCTGGGGGAGAGAGCTGTCCTGGAAGGTGTCCCAGGCCCAGGATGGCAGAGGGGCTGTTCCCCCCTAACCCAGTTGTCCTGTCCCTGGGGAGGGTGCAGGCAGCTTTCAGAGAAGGTCAGATTTGTGAATAAGGGGCTTTGGGCTTTTCCTGCAGGAGGGGTGTGTGCCATCTCTGCCTCCCCCCACCCCCACAGCGAAGGTTCCAGGCAGGCCTCTGAGTTGGTGACTCGCTACTCCCCTGCACCCAGCAGGAGATGGCTCAGACCTGCCTTCTTCCCTCAGCCTTCTCGGAACTGGAACTGGAAAGACCCAGAAAAACTTGTGGTTAAGAAGGAAACCCACAATTCCTTATTAAGAAGGACCCATTCTGGTAAGCTTGGCATCCTGGAGATCGGGAAGTCCTGGAGGTGGAACCTGAAAGCAATTTGGGGGCAGATGAGATGGGGCTGAGGGACATCTTCAAGGGATGGTGTCCCGAGAAAAGAACGGAAAGAAACCCACAGCTGTGGACACCCCAAGAGTCAGCACGAGGTCTTGGCTGGTGATAGAACTGGTGATAGGTGTTCTCTCTCTCCATCTACCCAGGCCTCTCCAGCCTCATTCCTCGCCTGTCCCCAGCTGTGGGCCCACAATTCTACTTCATGAACATTTTTCGTGTCCCCAGGCTCTTTCAGAACAATGTA